AGCAAAGGCTAGTAAACTTATTTTATAACTTTAATTATCTATCTTTCAATACAGTGCTCATTTTCAGAACTTGTCTTTAATTATCTATCTCCTAGGTTCAGAACAACTTCCTTTAAAAATCAGGAATTGTTTTATACTCATTTCTTAAATATGGACTCTGACTTCCGGCATTTCTAGAGGAAGAATTAATTATGTTACCAAAAAGCTGGAAATAGTATGATACAGAAACTAGTGTTTATATGTGTGTGAGAGCATATAGGTGTGTATTTCAAGGGTTTACTTCTATTAGAAAATAGATGTGGGAAATATGTATGTTAAGGCGCCAAGTTTGGTTCCACTCATCTTTGGCTTTTTCTTAATTTCCCAAGTTCCCAGTTAGTTTAAATACATTTGAAGACCACGGATGACTGAGATGATAGAATAATACCTCTCTTTTTTTTTTTTAGCAACACAATGTGATTATATACTAACTCTGGTTTGAGATTCCGATTTCTTATCTTGTAGGCTCAGATGCCCCACTTTTCCCTTTGCATATCTCTATGAATTATTCTTTGGTCTTTATGGCAAATCTTGCACGCTAGCCATTTTATTTTGGCATTTATTTGCTAGCTAAATACTCAGTGCTACTCACCCGAAGGATACAATATTCAAGTGAATTCTGGATAATGTTTGGAATTCAGCTTGCCTGTCATGAATATTGGTTTTAATATTTTACCAGTCCACCTCAAGATTTTGCCAACAACAATCCATTGTTATTCCAGAGGCTACAGTTCTTGGTTGTGTACCTCAGGGGTCCATATCCCTCTTCCAGTTAAGGGTGCTTTAATATGCTAAGTTAAACCCCGAAGCATCAGTATGGCGGCCGAGCACTCTTAGTTACTAGGCATTCAGTGGGTGTTTGGAGGAGGACTTTTAAGGGAGGACGGAACATATAGATAGAGGTAGCTTTCTATTCTCAGTTAACAGCCAGAGGGAAGAGGCAATGACCCAGGGGTAATGAAGTTTCCATCAGATAGCAATGTCCTAGTCAAGTGCAGCTCTGGGGCACTTGGAAAGTGGCCCTGGTAATGGTCTTTCTCTCAATCCACTGGGCCCAATGGGCTATCTGAGAAATTTTTAGGGTCAGGATTTAAAGTGAAAAAGCCTTTGGATCCTTCATCCCTCTTCATACTACCACTAAGTCTTCCCTAGGTTTCACACTTCCCGCCTTATTTTAAATTCTGTTTCCTTTATTTTCCCAATAATCCACAAGGAGTTTCCTAACAACCCATTAAATTGAGAACCCAAGCAACAATGAAAAATTGGTTTATTTTCTCCTGGAGGGTAAAGAGGATGCAAGCGTTAGAAAGACAATGCTTGACCTGGTAAGATATTCATTGAGGATGGAATGACAATACCCACATTTGAGGTTCAGTCAGTTGGCTTGTTACGTTAACAACAAGCTGGATTTCATGTAAAATATAGGATGAATATTCTATTCTCTGCAACATTTAAATAAAGGATACACTGAGCAATGCAAAATTACTGGAATGACCATTACTATACAAAATAAATTACTACAGTAAGTCCATTACAATAACTAGACATAAAGTCCACGTATGTTTATTGTGCACTCACTAATGTCCTATTCAGATAACTTATTTACTTTCTTTTACTCCTTACAAAGATACTGTCAACAAGTCTATTTTATTTTATACCTGTTTTAAAGATGAGCCAACGAAAGGCTCAGAGATGATAAACTGGCCTAATGTCAGACAGTTATTACTGAGTGATTCTAAAAACACTGCGCTAGAATTTACATTTGAACCCGTTGTTCTGGCTTGTGGTTAGTGCCCCTTCCACTTTGCCACACTAAAAATGTTATTGTGCTTGTCAGCTCTCTAGTGTTAGGACTTTGTTTGCGCTCTAGATTCCTTATTTTTACATACACTCGTATTTTAAAATGACATGTGATCGTATACTATACTCAGAATCACATAACTGATGAGTCACAGACCATGTCAGACATGTTGGGCTTACTCCTGCTCCATGCTCCTTTTCTTGCTACACGTAGTAAGAAGTTTGATTTCACTTTTATTGTCCTAAATCACAGCTTCCTAACCTTGGCATTATTGACATTTTGGACTGGATGATTCTCTGTTGTGGGAGCCTGTCCTGTACATTGTAGAAGGCTCTCCAGCATCCCTGGTCTGAGCCTAACAGAGGCCAGTAGCTCCACCCAGTGTAACAATCAAAACCAGCTCCACAGTCATTGCCAAATATCCTCTGGGAAGCAAAACTGTTCCCAGTTGAGAATGATTAAACTTAAAATGAAAGTAGTTAAATAAAAGTGTACTCCCTCTGCTCAGTTTCTTTCCTGCATATTTTATAGGCTTCAAACAATGAATGATTTAGAGTTTGTATCAGTCAGAACAAGTCAGGCTACTCGGTGGTAACAAACAATGCCAAAGTCGGCTCCGCAGATCAAGCGTGAGCTCTCCAGGGCAGCTGTCCTGCCTGAGGGCGCTTAACATTCGGGTTCCTTTAGTCGGCTAGCAGCTCAGCATCCACATGTGCTTTCATGGTCATTGCCGCAGGGAAAGACAGACTGTGGAGAAGCATGCATAAGGCCTTAAATATGTCCCTATGACAGTGACACATGTCACTTCAGCTCACCTTTTATTGACAAAAGCAAGTCACATGGCCATGTCTCACATCAAGGTGGGGAGGAAGTTCAGTCCTCCATGCTTGGAGGGAGATACTGGGAACACTGCTGAGCATCAGTGCTGTCACCCATCATCATCTGAAAGCTATTGTCTGTGTGTCCTGTAATGAACCTGGTAAGTTCTGGGTGACATGATTCAAGTAGTTTGGAATAGAGAGTTTACCCTGTAGGTCTGGAGAGAATGTCTACATGTAAACTACTCAGTGAACAAGACAATATGCACCATATACAATAGGTTATAATAATGCACATTAAATGTATGTAATAATTTGGAAAATATTTACATTTTTCTGATATGTGCATTTTATAATTTGAAGTCTTCCAGATAAAGAGCTGGCGTATCTTTCGGGTTCTGGGACCTAGGTCCAATGGGCGGGGGTTAAGGACTTCCTCATACAGCCAGATAGTTCTCCAGATACCCCTTCGTGTCCCACGGTTCAACACAGGTGTGGCACTGTCCACCCGGAGACAGCAGCAGGTTCCACAGGGCAGCGGTTTGGCCCCACAAGACCGCCCCTCCCTCCTGCACAGCTTCAGATGCCAGTCGCAGGCCCGGGTTGTCCCTGGTGCTTCTGGTTGACTGGCTACAGATTGGAGGTTCCCAAGACCCCCTCCTTCCTTGAGTTCTATTCATTTGCTGGAGTGACTCACAGAACTCAGAGAAACAATTTACTTAGCAGCTCACCAGTTTATTATAAAAGGATATGTTATAACTCAGGAGCCACGAGATGGAAGAGACGCATGGGACAAGGTATGGGGAAAGGGCACAGAGCTTCCACGCCCTTCCCAGGCAGCCACTCTTCCCAGTCTCCCTGTGTTCACCAACCCACAGGCTCTGAGAAGGCCCTCCTTGTGGGCTTTTATGGAGGCTTTGCTACACAGCAGGAGTGGTTAAATCATTAGCCTCTGGTGATTGATTCAACCTTCATTCCTTCTCCCCTCCAAGAGGTCAGGGGGTGGGACTGAAAGTTCCAACCCCCTGATCACGTGGTTGGGTCTCCTGGCAATCAACCCCCATCCTTAGGTGCTCTCAGAAAGTTACCTCATTAATATAACAAAAGATACCTTTGTAACACTTGGGAAAGGGAAATTTCTAGAGTTTTAGGTGTGTGATTAGGGGAAGAAGACCAAACATATACTTAGTATTATAAATCACAATGTCACCCGTATCCTTCTATTTATTGATTATCGTGTGTTTAACGTCCTCCAATAGAATTTTATAGTGTTTTCTGGTTAAGTGTATTCCTGGATATTCTTTAATTTTTTATTATTTTTGAGTGAGATTCCCTCCACCTCCCCCACCCCACTTCATTTCTATGCTAGTACAGAGCCAAAGCTGCTTGATTTTTCTATATTTTCCCTCATCTAGATATCTTAATGTTAATATTTTTAATACTTTGCATAGTTTTTGTATTTGAATCTCTTAGGGACTGGTTCACCAGATTTGCCCCCTGAATTAGGATATTTAGATAATCATACTTCAAAAACTACAATAATGTTTTCCCTTTTTAAAGGTAGCTTTAACTCCTTCTACTTACTTTGTAGCATTACATGAAACATATAGAACAATATTGGGTACTAATGGAAGTAATCTTTGATTTTATTTAAAAGAAGATTGTTGTTTATTTCTGGTATTCAGCATGTTTAAATGGTCTCATACTATTTGAAATTTTTTATAGAGTTTTAAATAAGAATGACTGCTGAATTTTAGCCAGTGGTTTCCAGAATTTGTTAGTCTAATTATAGGACTTGGGCTTTCATTTGCTGGTATTTGAAATACATTGATGGGTTTCCTGATGTTGAACCATGTACATATTCGAGGAGTAAGTAAATTCGGTGGACTTATTTTTATACAGGGTCCAGCACAAATAATGTCCCTTTTTCATTACAAAATCATAAGCCTGTAATTCTATAACATACTAGTGTCACACTCAAACACAGTATGTGACATTGTGGGTGAAATGTTCAAATTAAAACTATAAATTATCACATCCACATTATTACCCCACCAACCACGCTCAAACAGGCCTTACTTCTGCTGGACCCTGTATATTACTAGATTTGGTTTGCTAATGCCTGTTTTCTGGCATTCCAGCTAATTGAATTATTTGTTTCCCCCAAAACTACATTACCGGTATTTATTTCTTTCAATAACAGCAGTGGTTCTCATATTCTTATACCTGTTCCTTTGCCAGACTTAAAGGCTATTTGCATTTTAGTACTAGGTTGTATGCAGCTCCTCCATTCTCAAGTCACAACGGCATTAGTGACAGTTGAATCCATGTGTTCTCGTTAGGATTCTGCCAAACCTCTGGCTGGGTAGCTGCCCTCGGCAGGTGGAACACGTGACCATCAAGCTGAAGCACGAGCTGGGTGTCACCGCTGTAATGAACTTCCAGACCGAGTGGGACATTGTACAGAACTCCTCGGGCTGTAACCGCTACCCCGAGCCCATGTCTCCAGACACTATGATGAAGCTGTACAAGGAGGAAGGCTTGGCCTACATCTGGATGCCGACGCCGGACATGAGCACCACAGGTGAGCGATCGGACTCCCTCTGGCTCCCTGTGAGAGCTGTTTCAGAGAGGCCCTCACCGGTCTGCCTGGCTGCCCGCCTTTCTGTCTATAATTGATTGACCTAAATATGAGCGATAGAAATGGACTTTAAAAAAGGGTTTAGGTCTAATACATGTCTTTTGACAACTGAGCTAAGTTTCTATTTAGCATGAGTCCTTTGATTCATTGATTCATTAAACATGTATTTATTGTGCACCTACCGTGTATGTGGTGTTATGCTGGTGGCCGGGAACACAGTGGAGAAGAGAGGCAGGCCAACTCCTGTTCTCACGGAGCTTATCGTCCCATAGACACGACAAACATTAAATGACCACAAATAGAAGTAACCCACTGGGCAGGGTTTCACTAGAAAGATGCATAGATATCAGTAGGAGAGCATGCACAGACCGCAGATCCAGGAGGGGGTCAGGGAATGTGTTCCGGGGAAGCGGTGTTTGGACTAAGATCTGAAGAGCCAGGTGGGGCCGGTGGTGAGGCGTGCAGGCAGAGGGAGCAGCTTTCGAGGAATCCCTACGGCAGGAGAGCACCGAGGGTCGTAGAACAGGCCTGGTGGCTGCGGATCAGAGGATCGGGAAGTGAGTCCTGCAGGGACTCGGGAACAATAAGGACATCAGATTTTACCCTAAAGTGATGAGACGCAGCGGGAAGAGCTGGGGGCTGAGAGATGCCAAAACAACCCTTTTCTTCTCCTCTCGACAGAGGATGAATTGGGGTGGGCCCGGAGTGGGTCCGGGGATGCAGTCAGGAGGGTATGCCACATTCAAGTGAGAGGCAGTGAGGGGAGAATGCAGTGCAGGGAAGGGCGGTGATAGTGCGGCTGCATTCATTGCCCAGGTACCAGCTGAGCCTGTTGTTGTGAGGAGAGAATTAGGATGTGACTGGGGTGCTGCCCGGGAAACAGACAAATGGGCCATAGTTTTGATCTAATGGTAGGGGAAAGCGGACAGGTTCTGAACTACCTACAGTACAGAAAAGAGTGTGAGGGGAGGGATGCATCCTGTGCTCTGGGAGAGTTACGGCCGGAGAGGACCACTTTGTATGGAGAACAGACAAGCGGCACGAATGTCTTTGCATTTGAGGTGGGCATGACAGGTCATTGCCAAGTGTAACAAAGCATAGGCCAAGGCTCAGAGCCACGGGATGTTAGAGGAATGATCTATATTTCAGCCTGGTTGTATGGGACAATAGGGTTCTTGTAGAAAAGGAATGGAGCTGTTTAGAGCCAAGAAAACCAAGTTACACTGGTAATATGAACTAGTTGTCAGCAGGGGGCAGCAGAGAGCTATGAAAATGGCACAGCCTAAGGGAGTTTGGTCAACACTGTTTTGGGGAAAAGAAGAAAGGCTGTGATGCCTAGGGAGGAAACATTTCTATCATCCACCCTCTTCCCCCAAAAGTACATTATGTATCTATCAGACACTGCTCTAAGCAGTTGCATGCATTAACTTACTTAATTCTCACAACAAGCTTCTGGACAGATGCTGTCATCTCCCTTTTGCAGAGGAGGAGGCTGAGGCAGAGAAAACTTCAGTAACCTGGCCAGGGTAAACCAGAGAGACCCCGCCTGGATTTCTCGGCAAACAGGCTGACTCAGAACGTAGCTCCAAGACACATGCTCACGTGAACTCCTCATGCACATTCTACAGACCACTGCACTTCCAACCTGTCATTTTCATCTCTTGCTGGAATTAGGCAAAGTCGTGAGTTGCCAGGGAGGTAGCTGGGTCTCCCTGGAGTCAATATAATCAAGGCATTGGTCAGGACAGAAGGCCCGGGAAGGCACAGGTGCCTGGACCTGGGCCATATGGGCTCTTCATGAACTCAGGTGGTCCTCCCGGCCGGGCTGGACCCCTTGGTGGATCTGTGTGGGAGCTGTACTGCTGCTGGGGATGAGGTATCACTTGTGTTCCTTAAGGGCAGTTTGGGTACTTCCCTTGGTAATGCTGATCCAGAGGAGCTTGATTTAGCCACACAGGCTTTGTTTTCCAAGGGAGAAAAAAAAAAAGAAAACTTCATTGGCACAGAATAGCACTGGTCGAATCTAGGTCATATTTGTCCTGTCCAGCTAGTTTCTCTGGTTTCAAAACAGAGGAACCGGTTAGGGAGTGTGCCTGTAGCTTCCAGAGGGTGCCTGGATTTCTGCTTCCTCGATTCTGGTTTATTAGCACTGTTGCCCCTTCGGAATACGGTGTGAGACGAGGCTCAGCGACACCGAGACACACTTGGCGTGCGTCCCACTCCATCCCGTGCTGGCGAGCCGGGAATTTGCCTGCTCATTCCCAACACCCCCCTGGAGTCGTGTCAAAGCCTTTGGCGGAGAGGGGTCCTGTCTTTGTGAAGAGACAGTTGTGATCTGACGTGGGCGCTGCCGGGGAAACAGAGACAAATAAGATCGTTCCTTGATAACAGGGGTCCTGGTCACGACAGTGGAGCATCGCCCCCCCCCCCCCACCGACTGCATGAAATGACAGCAGAATGAAAGCTCCCACTGACAAAGACCAAACCCCAACTGTACATGGAGGGTTTCTTTAGTTCAGCCTGCATGCAGGGGGGTAGGCAAAGGGTTAATGGCCATTTTGGAGTCCCCGAGGAATTTTTGACCAGTAGATCCATCTCTGCAGCTCACAATATCAGCACAGTAAACATATAGATTAATTCTGCCAGATATTTTTAGAACGCAAGAGAAGAGTCCATCTGCAGGAGTTTTGAGCCACACAGCGCTGTCGGCTGATGTCTGAGAGAGAAGACAGCTGGTGAACGGCCACGGTCCCCACGGGCTGTCACGTACCTGTTTCGATCCTGGGGCCATCGATCGTCGGTTTGCACATTTTGTCATAGGCTAAGGGCTTAATTAGGGTTTTCTTTTTTCTTTTTAAAAATATTTTGGTTTGTGTCTTTCACCTAAGAAAGAAAAGGTTCCTAAATCTGGCATCCACCTGAGAAGAACCAATGTGCTCACCCAGATTTGGTTTTTCTGCCCGTGGGAAGGACCCTCGTGGGGTTCTGGCGCCATCAGGGCAGTGCTGGGATGACAGAGGAGCTGGTGGGCCGCCCCGTCCCCAGCTACCTCCTTTGTTTTCTCCATCCGGGTTCTTTTCTCTGACTCAACACCCCGGATCCAGCTCTGCCGTGAGGCAAGCACACTGACCTCGGAGCCGCAGCACCGAGGGGTGAGCCTTGTCACCGCTGTGTGGCTGTGTGATACTGGGCCGACTAGTTCCTGCACTTGGAAAATGGGGATAATAATTTCCGCCTTTCAGGATTATAACAGCGGAAAAAGATGATGGATGTGAATGTGCTTTGAAAATCACAAAGTTGGGACTGTGTTATTAGTCCCAAGTCCTTACGTTTCTACCAAAGGATGTCATAGATAATATGAACCTTATTTCCATTACAATGCAAAGGTGAAGAAGAAGATATACTGAAATAGAATAATAATATACTTGGCATAAATCTGCCCCTGGATTAAGAAAGGAAAGCTATGTGTGTGCATATGTGTGTGTGTTTGTTTTGGAAAGGCTGAATGTTGTTCTAGGAATGATCTCATTCGGGGCCAGCCCCAGCTAAACCGTGGGTGTCTTCAGGGCCCCCCACTTGTGTCAGTCCCTCCTGTCTCAGGCCGCCCCAGCTCCCCCTCATGCCCCTTCTCGCCACCTTTGCGTGTTCATCGCGTGCTTCCAGGAGGCGCTCAGTCACCGCTGAGCTGGAGGAGCCTAGAGGAGGCGGGGCCGGAAGTTAGACCGGAGGGGTCTAGTAGTGTCTCAGCGCAAATTGGCAGTATTGGGCTTCATTTTCTATTGTTTCAATTCATGCCTTTGGGCATCTGTTGAGGGCCAGGGCCTGCTGTGAGTTCCAAAGGAAGAATCACAGGCAGTGGAGTGTGTTGTTGGCCGGCATAGGGTTTCAGATTTTCAACTTAGTTGCCAACATTTAAAATTTGGACTGTTATACGTTAAAAATATGCATTTCTGTCTTGCCTTTCGGGATAATTGTTTTTAAGAATAAAGACTTTTTACCAAATTAAATTCTATGTGGAGCCAAAATACACAAAACAAATACCAGGGGCTCTGGTAGATGCTGGCTTTTCTGTGCGAGCCCTGAGGATACCCTGGGGACCCTTTCTATCCCTCAGTGGGTTACATATGATCAGCTGAGGCTCTCTGGAGCGGTCTGGAAGCAGAGGGATGCAGGCGCGTTGGGCACACATGGCCCCCTAGGCCAGGGGCAGAGGCGTGTAGCCCCAGGCCGGATTGGCCCTCCCACAGGGCTGAAAGCAGCAGGTGACCAGGCAGGTGGGGAGCAGGGGCTGATGGAGAGATCAGGTTGATGGCATGGGAGCCGGCCAGCACCACTAATCAGGCAGGCGAGGGAAGGACAGTAGCACAGAGGTTAAGACTGGAGGCTGTGGCATCTGGCTGGCTGGGTTTGAGCGGCCATGAGAGAACAATAACCTTGGGAAGCCCTCTGAGCCTCAGTTTCCTCAGGCATACTGGGGGATAATAATGGTACCAAGGTCCTCGTTGGCAGGAGGTGGTTGTAGAGGAGCTCCTGGGTGCTCACTGCTTACAAAGGCACGTGGCTGGTCAAAAGGCAGAAGGAGCTGTCATCCGAGCAGGTGATGTGCCGTCCCTGGAGGTCACGATGCATGAGGTGTCCGGGGGATGCCAGGCCGAGATGGGTGGGCATCCTGGACCTACAACTTGTCTGGTGCTCCTTTTTACTATTTGTTCTTTTTTATGTCATCTGAGTCTTTGCTTGACAGTTCTTAAGTGGGATGGCTAAGTGATTTTGGGAGAAGACCACTGGTGTGTGAGACCTGTGTTAAAACTGGGAGCCTTACAGAGCTCCCACGCGGTTGCTGACCTTCAACCTCCAGGATCACATGTCTCAGATCATAGAACCTCAAAGTAGCACATACCCATTTTCAACAGTTTTACCTTCTAGACTCTTTGCGTGCATCTCGGAGAATCTTCCACAGATACAAAGGAAAAAGGGCGAGATCGCATCGTTTGGCTGTTTGGTGCAGACCCTTTTATCGGGGGACCTCCAGCCAGAGAGACTGTTGGGCAGGGACCTGACAGGTCCATGCCATCCCTGGCTCGGGCAGGCCAGCTGCCCTGATGGCACAGGGGCCAAGCACCAGGGGCTGGGAATCCGGCTTCAGCAGCTCCTCCTGCTAACGGCCACTATGCTCTCTTTCTATATTTGGCCTTTAATAAAAGCCCACATTAAACATATGTCTATTTCCTGGCAGTGTGCATGGTAGCTGAGAGGTTGCTATAAATGGGGACCTTGTCAAGTGGTGCATTAGGGAGGAGCAGGGAGAACCCAGGCTTCCTGGACCCATCACTGGGAGTTCCTTTCCCTGCACTATTGCTCGGGGTAAACCTCTAACACCCCTTCATGCACAACAGAAGCCCTGAACTTGAGCCAGCCTCACCCCATCAGCAGGCTGCACAGACATGCCTTGGAGGTATGTCTGTTTCCCCCTGTCACCCAATTCAAACAGTGGATGAACTACACCGTCCTCTCCCGAGGCTCGCAGTGAGACATCTCTCTGGTATGTACAGTGTTCTCACCTCCTTACATCTCCAGTGACATCTGCCTGCCTCGGGGAGACTGCCAGAAATGACTGACTGCATGGCAGGCCCACCCAGATCTCACCTGGGAGCACCTCCCAACCCAGCACAGAGGTGTCAGCCGGTCAGAGCTGTGGCTCAGTGTGGACTCGGAGAAATTACCCAATAAGTTACAGCTCGTGTGTCTCCAATTCAGATGCCCTCGGGGACCAGGCAGGCCACACTAAGACAGCTGGGGCCCCAGGGACTGTGAAGTGGGCCCTGCCTAAAGGAGTCCCAGTTACAGGCGTCTCTACACTGCTCTTGAGACCCTGTCGTAATAGCAATCAGCAGAGCACCAGCAGCAAAAATAGAATATTGTCCTGGTTCCACGTGGACGTTCTGCTGCAGGATGGAATGGGAACTGAGAGGGCGCTCCGGCCACAAGCAGGTCCTTGGTGACACCTGTCCTCAGGTGCCGACTCCGGGTCACAGTGTGTGGTGTTGGCCCCTTCGGGGCCCCTGCATCGTGAAAGAGGACAGCTGGAGAGGGAAGTCTCAACTTGCCTGAGTGGTTCTCCCGGGAGGACTCTGGGCCCAGTGAAATCACTCGAGGGAGGGCCTCTCCGGTCCTCCAGTGGGCCGGCAATGTGAAGGCCTTGGGCCTCGGCCGGGGGTACTACACGTTGTATCTGTGTGGTTGAGGACAGGGAGTGGCTCGAGATTGTCAAATCACAGGCACAGGGTTTTAGTCCAGGACTCTGTGTGGTTTCCCTGTTTCATCCCTTTTTGAAGTAATTTACACAGACCGTTCTCCAACCCTCCCCCAAATCCACTAAACATCTTTGACTGTGAACCTATAGGCAGCAGACACTGCAGGCACCCAGGAGTTTGATGATTTTAGGGGGGATCTCTTACACCAGGGTCTCTTACAACAGGCTGCAGCAGAGCCTGCGTATCCTCTCTGTGTGGCAAGGGGATATTTTAATCATCTCATAATTGAAAAACTAATCATGAAGCTGCAATAACTATAATCATGACTGCCCAGTAAAGGAGAAACTGAATCAGTTGTAATACCCACTGCATCATGAGGGAATAAATGAACAGTGTATCAGTTAATAAGTTAGTCACTCCATTGGACAAAAGAGAACTAGCATCTTGTGTTGAATGGATGAGACTGACTTCTTTCATCAAGACCCACTAACTCTGTTGTACATTTACCTAGAAGGTCCTTTTGGATGACAGGAAACTGAGTTGACAGGACCTGTTGGGCTCCCTGTGAAATCCTCTAAACCTCTGTCTAATCTGTATGCACAGATCATCTGATGACAGGCTACAGCGAACTTTTCTTTGAAGGGAAACTGGGCACAGAAGCCCCTCAAAGGAGCAGCCAAATCAGCAGCAGTTCAGAGCAGACCCATTGCCTCTGAGGACCCTTCCCACTCTGTCATTAGCAGGAGTTGGTATTGTCTCGCCTCTCCCTTTGAGACAGGGGAATGGAACCGGTCATATCATCCCTGCGTTGCTCTACTCGGTGCTGTGACTTCCCAGGGTGCTGGAGTGATGGTAATTAGCAGCAATATCAGGGTTCCACTACTCATGTGACTGTGCTGTGCTTTCTCTGTCCCAGGCCGGGTACAGATGCTGCCCCAGGCGGTCTGCCTCCTGCACGCGCTGCTTGAGAATGGACACACCGTGTACGTCCACTGCAATGCGGGGGTCGGCCGGTCCACGGCGGCCGTGTGCGGCTGGCTCCACTACGTGATGGGCTGGAAGCTGAGGAAGGTGCAGTACTTCGTCATGGCCAAAAGGCCGGCCGTGTACATTGATGAGGATGCCTTGGCCCTGGCACAAGAGGACTTCTTTCAGAAATTTGGGAAGGTGCATTCTTCCATTTGCAGTGTGTAGGTGGCCCGTCTGCCTCCCCTCTCTCCCATTTCCTGTGGAAGCACGGAGCCATGGGAGTTCAAGAGCCTAGAAACAAAGATTCCGCTCGAAGAGACTGGCCACTGGCTTTTCCCCCAACCCGCCTCTTTCAGTCTGGGGCCGACTTTCTCCTATGCTTTGGTAGAGCTGTATTGTCTTTGAAGTATTTTACAAAGGAAGCTGTGACCAACACAGGAGAAATAGCCACAGGCAGTTGGGCCGTGCACTGTAGTTGTAGCATCAGACAGAGAGGGAATGCACGCAGGTCTGGCCGCCGGCAAGCAGACCCGCCCCTCGCTTTCCAGATGCCATGTTCCTTGTGTTGTGAATTCGCCACTGCAATTTCTTGCTGCGTTGTTGAGTGGTGCGCAGAAAAAAAGATAGGGCGTCATGTAGATTTCATCACTTGTATGTGTGCATGTACACACACCCACACCCACCCACCCCCACACACAAACACACGCACACGCAAATTTTCCACTGAAATGGTAAAATGAGAGCTGGTCAATTGCCAAGAAGGACATATGAGTAGAAGCCTGGGCTATGACAAATTAAGACCTCAATGTGACCAAAATAAGTGGCTTTCTAGACCTCGATTTTGCATCCTGCTTCAAAGTCTGTTCCAAGGCATCACCTTCCTGAGCCCCCCACGACCCCGTGTAACATCCAAAGTAGAGTTACCACCTCTCTATTTGTTTGAATTGAGGTTCAGTGAACACAGATAGCTTGCTTAAGGGTTTCTTGCTACTCAAGGTTGAGGTGGAGTTTTTTTGATTCACTGCTTCTTCAACACAGCTTGTTCTGCCAACGAACTCGAGTGAATTCAGTTTCTCTATCACAGAGTAAGGTTGCTGTTTCTGCAGCAGTTGTTACCATGAGAAATGGAACAGCATTCTGATCAGTTGCCAAAGAATTTAGGAGAGTACTTGTATTTTGTACGACCTGCTTTAAAACCTGGTGGGCTGTCTCAAGGCCAAAGTGACCTGAGCCATAGCTCACAAGAGGAGCTATACACGTGGGGTGAAAGTAGGTTTATGGTGTGAGTATGTGGAACAAGCTTATTCTTGTTTTACTATTTATTAATTATTGTATTATTTTCCATACGAACAACTGTAAACCTATTGTGCCTCACCCTGTATTACCAATAGAGCTCCCAGAGCCCAGATCCATAGGTCGTTGCTCCACAGCTGGGCAGCCACCCTGGTCCACACTCAGTTTAGTACAGTAACAATACACAGCACACACGCTGTGCTTCCAGAATGTGCAGCCCACTGCCTCTCCCTAGGTCCTGCTGAAAACTCAGAGACGAATGAGACTTTGCCTTCAAGAGCTCGTAGCCCAGGAACAGCCCCGTGTTCCATTTAGTACCACGTAGGATTGAACTGTGGGTGCCATGCTAGGTAGGGGAGGGGGAAGTGACTTTTATTGGGTGCCTCTTACGGGCTAGGTGCTTTACCATCTTATCCCTTTTAATCTTCGCAGTACCCTGTGTGAGAGAGAGGCCTTGTTATCTCCATTGTATAGACCAGGTAACTAAGGCCCAGAGAGGTTAAAGCAACTGGGTAGGACAACATGGTGACTAAGTAGAGGAAATGAGTTATGCATCTAGGTTTGTCTGAGTCAAAGCCCATGCTGTTCCTATTAAACTGCAATCCTTATTTGCTTATTGTGCAATCCTTATTATGAAATAAATATTTCATAAATATTTATTGATAGCTATGAGGGAGTCTGGGACAGACTCCCACCCTTTAGGAAGGGTGGGAATAAGAAGGATGCAAGGCGAGACCCACTGGCGTTCAGAGGAGGGAAAGACGCTTTATAACTGTGGGCCTCAGGGGAGATGGCATTTGGCTCAGCAGGGAAGGCTAGACAAGGCACATTTCTCCTGCAGTTTTACAAAGTTAGATTTATAAGCCAAGATGGACTAATATGGAGTCCAGTTCCCTTGATAAAAAGAACTGGAGGTAACTGTTGTATTAAAGTCACCCCTTTATAGTCGTAATGTGTTGTGTAAAATTTAATTTTAAAAATGAAATATTTCTAACCAATTGTATATTTGTGTATGAAATTCCTTAATGTCTATGAAGCCCAGTTATGTAATTTTCACTAAGGGAAAATCCTTTTTGAATGAATTTTTTTTTTTTTTGCTCTGATGGGCAAAATCGTTTTAGGGCTAAGAATATTTGGGAATAACTTCCCTTGTCTTCAGTGATCGGATTGTCTGGTCTGTTTCAGAGTCACCTGTAATTTTTCCTCAATAAAAGAATTGAAATGACCTTTGTGTATAGAATTTTTTTAAGTATTAATTTTGGTTGCAATTCAAAAGAGCAAACTGTCTTTTCTTATTTGTCATCTAGTTTATTCCTTTATTTTTCAAAGGAACAAACCCAGACCCAGAGACAGCAGATGACTCTGAGCGGCACAGAGATTCAGCAGAGGGTCGGAGGGGAGGGACGCGCTGGGAGGATCGGCCGGGAGATTTGTTTTGGTGTTGAGGGGGCCCTGTGGGCCCATGGACATGAGAGGAGACGGTGTCGTTACGGGAAAGAATTGGTGGAAGGAGTCATTGGGAATTGGAGTAAGTGGAAGAAAAATGGCTAAAATGAGGACAATCAAAGAAAAATGAAATTTCCAAAAGAAGAAGCAGGTGTTTCCTTTTATGAAGGAAACATACTGTTGGAAGGGCTGAGAAGGGAGGTGCGGCTGCAGTAGCAGAGGGGCGAGAGAGTCAAGGTTATGTTCCCAGGACAGGACAGGAGGTCGTGCTAAATGGTCAAGGCAGTAGGAAAAGGACAACTGGACGTGATGTGCTGTTCAAACAGGAGGTGTGCTGTGCATTAGCTTATTACCTGCTAGGAAAAGAAAGAAAAAATCTGACAGGAGATGGAACTAACAATAAGGACTGATGAAGCTACCTCGCATTAAAATGATAATAACGGCAGGATGATAAGGGGAAGAGGAGGAACAACCATGACAATGACTTCACTCTTCCCTTCCTTAATCCATTTCTCCCAAAGTTTTTCCCCGTTCAGGTAAGGGACTCGTACTTCTGGTTGCTCAGGTTCCAAACGTCAGCGTCATTCTTATAGTAACTCCTTTCTTCCTTTCAGACATCATGTTTAATCTATCTGGAAAATCTGTCACCTCTCCTGTCAAAATATCTATAGCCCATGTTTTATCTCCCCCACAGAAGAAGCCTGGTTACAGCCTGGTTACTGATCTCCAGACTGAACTTCAGAAAGAGCCTCCTATCTGGTCTCCCCATTTCTGTCCTTCCCTCCACCCCCCGCCCCTACCTCTCTCCTGTCCACTCTCACACTCTGGCGGGGGGATCCTGGGGAAACACATGGATTATGGCGCGCCTGTGCTCAAAGCCTCCAGGGATGTGCCATGTCTCTCAGGGTGAAGGCCCAAGCCCTTCAAGGACCTACACAACCTGGGCCTCTTGGTGTCTGACCTCATCTCCTACTGCCCTCTGCCTCCCTGTGCCCCAGCCACACGGGTCTTCTTGGGCCTGGAGGATTCCCGGCAGGCTCCCGTGTCAGGACACCCGCACCTCCCCCCCGCCCCCCGCCATGCTGTCTGCCTGGAGGGCTCTCTCCCAGGTCTGCACACGGCTCCCTCTGTGCCTCCAGCACCGATGCCTTCCTGGACCGCCCACCAAGATTCGCCACACCCAATCTTAGCTTTGCCTTTGCTCATTTTTTGCTTTATTATCCTTCATGGGACTCACTACTGGCCAATATATTACATAATTGTTTTATTTGTTTTATTGTCTGCATTCTGTCACTACAATGTGAACTACGTACAGATAAAAAGTTGTATCTAACCCCTGGCTGACATAGCTCAGTGGATTGAGCACGGGTTGCGAACCAAAGTATCGCAGGTTCGATTCCCAGTCAGGGCACATGCCTGGGTTGCAGGCCATAGCCCCCAGCAACTGCACATTGATGTCTCTCTCTCTCTCTCTTCCCTCTCTAAAAATAAATAAATTAGATCTTTAAAAAAATTTGTATCTATTTTGTTTGGTGATGTACCTAGAGTGTCTCGGAGTCTGGCATATAGTTCAATGAGTGAAGGTCAAGAATAGCTAATAACTGTTGACAGCACACCTATTCTCTGGGCTGTTCTCTAAAGGCTTTGCTTATGTCAGATCATTTAATTTTCCCCACAAGGCTAGGAAGTAGATATTACTATTATCTCTATTTTACAGGTAAGAAGACTAAAGGCATAGAAGAAATGTGAACTTATTTTAAGGCAGGGAAGAGTTTCACTCCTGGTTTGGTAGAGTAAGCTCCTAAAGAGCCACCCCGTAGAAACTCTGGGCACACCGCATGTATTATTAGTTTGCTAGCCGTAAAGATGTACCACACACTGGCTGGCTTAAACAACAGACGTTTATTGTTTCACAGTTCTGGAAGCAAGGTCAAGGTGTCAGCAGGGCTGATTCCTTCTGCAGGATGGAAGGGGAAGCTGCCCAGGCCTCTCGCCTGGTTTCTGGTGGTTTGCTGGCAACCTTTGGCATGCCTCAGTCTGTGGAAGCATTACTGGCCCCTGCACTCATCTTCACAGGGCATTCTCCCCATGAGTGTTTGTGTGTTTGTGTATGTGGGGGGGTCCAAATTTCCCCTTTTTATAAGGATACCAGTCACATTGGATTAGTGGGCCACTGTATTTCAGAAGGACCTCATCTTAACTAATTACATATGCAAAGACCTATTTCTAAATAAGCTCACATTTGAAGGTACTGGAGTTAGGATTTCAATACACAGATTTTGGGGGGTACAATTTGAATCATACCACTACCAAACACAACTACCTGAAGACTATGGAGGTGAAAAAAGCAGGCAGATACGAGGGGAGTGGAAGCTTGGAAGAAGGGACTAGACTGGGCTGAGTTTGCTGTTTTTACGATTTGTCCTGATGTCAGGCTGCACTCATAGTGTTGCTGAGACAGGTAAAATGCAACACTCTCATCCTTGGTTCAGGACCCCAGAGTGGAGCAAAATCAAGCATTTCCCTTGTGATAGAAATTAGGAAACAGTATGTGATATAACATGGGCCCCTGAGATACATGAAGAGTTTCTGGGGGTTTCTGAGTAGTGTTTTCACTGCCCCCCTTTGGGAAATCCTGATTTTATTTTTTTAATTAAAAAATCTTTATTGTATTATTTTTTGATTACCATTTAGTGCCCTTATACACGCCTCCCCCAGCAATCACCACACTGCTGTCCAGGTCCGTGAGTCCTTGTTCCTTTTTGCTCCGTCCTTCCACCCTGTAACTCCCCTCCCCCAACTACCTGTCATCCTGCTCTCCATCTATGTCTGTCCCCATTCACTCTGAATAAAGAACGACAGGAAGTGATGCTTTTTCTTCCTTCAGTTCCTGTTCTGTGTGGATACGTGATCCAGACTAGTGGGACCATCTTCCTAACAGCCTGAGAATAAAGCCCACACGTGAAATGACAGAGAAAAGAGGACTGAAGTTGTGGCTACCAGATAAGTTAGCCCTGGATTCTGCTCAATTTCTTCACTTCCGGTTGGGCATGATGACCTATTTGTGTTCAAGCCAATCAGAGTCACGTTTTCGATTGCTTACAGTTGAAGCAAAGCAGTTGGCACACTACCAATTATATAAGTTCTAGTTTTAGTAATAAAAAATAGTCTTTATTTTGTCATCATTTCTGGTATTAAAATACATTCTTATGTCATTTAAGGAACTTATGTTTTTGTATTTGCTCCTCCTAGGACAGTGTCGTTAGTAGTTTCTGTACCGCTGGGCTTCGGAGGACAGTGCTAACGGGAAGATGGGCGCTCTGGAGTGATGATCTACAGGTTAAAATTGTGTGACAGGGAAGGCAGCCCGTGGTGGACCTGTTAGACTTCAGAACAGCTGTGTTTGTGATTTCTGATCATCGGCCTTAAAGCAGTGATTCTTACCTACTTAACTGAAAGCCAACCTGAAGCGGAGATACCACAAATTTTCCATTTTCCTGGGCAATAAACATGTACACCTCAAAGAATTACACATTCAGGTAGTCTCCATGCCTTATGTGAGCCAGGCACTCTTACTATGTAGCCAAGTGGCTAGTGAAAATGAATGGATTGGGCTGATTTGAAGTTTATGATCCCTTTTTCCTACCTTTAGACAGAAATTATACCAAGTCTTATTAATTTTTTTAACTAAAAGAAACATAAAAAGGGTACATGAAGTAGAAGAAGCAGTAAAAATAATGAACTTCTCACAAATGGAATCCTTGGCTCCAAATATGTGAATTGGGATTTTACATTTTAAAAGTAGAATTCTCAAGTAGAAATTTGAAGGAGAGACTTTAAGAGCTGATTCATATGACAGTGTTCAGTGTTTCTAGCTGTATATTTACAGACTTGGACCAAGTTTTTAATCTAATAAAACTTTCATTTAAAACTAACACAAAACATTTAAAGACATGCTTTGGTTTAAAATTAGCTATTTTCTCTCACGTGAGATAATTTAGAATGTGGTACAAATGTATATATTATTTGCCTTCTACTGAGCATCTTCTTATCACCTTCTAAAGATGTTCCTTTAATTGTTTTTATTTGTTTATCTTTGATTCCTTGGTATTAATTTAGTGCTGACATGAAACATGTGGGCAGTACACATTATGGAAGGCATCGGATAGGTAAGCTCTGGGCTCCCATAGCTAGAGGATATGATTGAATATCCAAGAACCTGTCCAATGTGGGAAACGCTTTAGGCTCAGATACATTCTGGAAGTTACCATTGGGCCCAAAGGACAGACAGAAACCCAAGAGCAAAATCCAGAGACGGCTGAAAGAATTGTCTGAGACACAGAGAAAATGTAGAGCCATTCAAATAAAAGACAGGAGGAATTCCTGTACTGTAATTGTATCAGACATTATTATTCCAATATAACTACAGGAAATTCTGCTTAGTGTTCAGTGAATAAGATTGCTGTCATTTAAAACCTGAGCTAAGAGCAATCAGTATTAAATGATCTGGCACAGCATCAGAGCAGTACGGATTGCAAAGGAGAAAGTCAGAAGAAACTGGACCCAGAACAGTGCGAAACAGCCAGTTGCCATTGTCACACCTGCAAGGCTTCCATTGATGCCTGGTGAGAGACAACTCAGAACTCACTGAATATAATTTAGTTTTTAAATTGTATTTGTCAATTATAGTTTACATTCAGTATTACTTTGTATTACTTTCAGGTCTACAGCGTAGTGGTTAGACAGTTATACAATTTACAGAGTATTCCT